CAAGGAAGGGTAAAAAATTGTGTTTTTTATGTAAAATGTTAAAAGGTACTGTAGTTTAGTAAGAAATTAATGTTTTTTTCCAAATTTGATCAAAATTAGTTCATAAACAAGTAAACTACAACAGTTGACTTATTCTCGATAAGAATAACATGTGAATTTTAAAATTACAACTTTTTTAAATTTTTCTCGTAACCATTAGGCGCATAATAACGCTTCAATATACTAAATTATTTGTTTTTTAAGCTCTACAGAATGGTTTAGAAAGAAATTGTGAAATTCTGCGTTTTTAGGGTCAAAAATGGGAAAACCCTATTTTTACCCCATAAAACAGCCCATAAACGGACAATCATCACGAATCTCGCCGCGATTAAGATACCTATAGCCGCAATCACAAAGAGTCATGGAAGCTGAGATAATCGCAGGAGATTATCGCGGATGTTGCCACGATTGTGTAAGACCACAGCCACCTCTAATACATTAGAGGTATTGTATTAGAGGTAATTAGTATGTATTAGAGTATGTATTAGAGGTATTGTATTACATTAGAGGTAATGTATTAGAGGTGGCTGTGGTAAGACGCAAATAACGCGACTGCAATTAGCATATAATGGTGTTGCCACCATCGCAAGTAACGATCACACATCTTAGTGACGGCCTTTTAGTGAATTTCCTATATAGGGTATAAGCTATCATCGTAGTACTCATGGTAAATACCTCTGGACCCGGGATGGCAAGGCGTATATAAGAAGGTGTGTGCACGCACATCCCCCACTCCTCCAATCAGCCAATCAAGTATTTACTGCTTTACTTTTTTTTGGTTAAATAGTAGTGTTATATTGTATAACACTACTACAGAATATTCATTCAGTGTTGAATACAACGCTATTTTGGATATATAAAACTAAATAATAGTGTTATATATTAAATGCTGATTCCTAATGATTGTCATTCAAAAGTCTTTGGAAAATTATAAGAAAACATATGATTTGGTAAAATAAAATAAAGGGTGGTGGTGGGGTGGCAGTGGAGTGGGGGAAGAGCCATATTCTGTCTCACTCCCATAGCTCGGTATCTCTCTCTCGCACCAATGCTACGACGAGGACGCTTTCTAAGCGGCTGACCTATAGACTCTTAGCCAGTAATTCCTAAATTAGGCAATGCAATTAATAGTTTTTCACTGTCAAAAGCCCTAGTCAAGTCAAGAAATAATACCAACCACTTTTTGCCCTTTGTCTACTGAATCTATTATTGTTTGAATTAATTCTATACCAGCTGATATGGTGGATTTCCCTTTTTGGAAACCGTGCTGCTCTTTATCAAGTTGTCAACAAATATATATATATTATAAGTGTACAAGTATTATTTTACTTTTATATTGTAAAATTAGTTATTTTCACATGACAAAGTTCGGATTTAGTTGGAAATTGATTTATCTTATTGTATTCAGTTAAGTTTGTTTTATATGTGGATTTCCTGTAAATATTTTTTAATTTTATATAGTTACTAGTTGTGTATACATTAAACACTATTTCAACAAACAATGTGGTTGTTAGTCAAAACAATTTGTATTATTTGCTCCATATCCCCCCTGAAATGAATGTCAAGTCAACATTTGTTAGATTTTTTACATTAGGCCTATTATGTTTTTTAGATAGTTGTGTACAGTATTAAAAGAAAAAAATACCCTGTTTCAACAAAATTCAATTCACTGGTTCCAACTTCAATAATCAACAGTAAAACCTTTAGTAGGAAAATATTGTTTTCATCCCTCCGTAACGAAAGTAACTATTTTTTATAACAGCTGAAATCAATGAAAGTAGCCGTTTCTCAAGCTCTAATTTAGGGCGAGGGAAAATCAATCAGCTGATTTTCACTCGCTCTAAATCCATTTATTCACTGCACGCGCTAGTGTTTTTACGGTTTAATTTAATGATTTGAAACAGCTTTTTAATTGTTGCTAAATCTAAATCCATACAGAAACAGGCATTACCGTAGTTTGTTTTGTTGTGTTTTTAACAAAGTGTTTCAAAGTATGCCTAACATTACTGAAGATTTCATGAAAACAGCTTAACTTATCACATTTCCCCGGATAAATCACGGGAAGGATAAGAAGAGGAATACAGAAAGCTTAGACACTGGTAAAAATTACAAAATATTAAGTTAACCAACGTGACGAAGTATTTATTTATACATTATTTATCATCTAAATAATCTACAATTATGAAACCATATATGTAAGTTGTGAAGTGTATTTTCAATGGTAAAGAGTGGTCTAAAACTATTTTATTCCTACTGAGATATGTTATTCCGAATGTGTGTATTTTTGTGTCGTGATGTAAAGTATCGTACATAATTCGTACGAAAAGCTTTTTCCGACACTTGCTCCATTATTCCCGTCCTCGGCGTCGCTTCGTACGTGAAAACAAAATTCACATGCTTCGCTTTGCCTCGTACGTGAAATTTGGTTGTCCTGTGTTTGGCTTTGAGCGCACGTCGGAAAATGCCATTTTCGGTCCTTGTAATGAAATATACTATTTAATTGAATCAACACTGCAAAATTTGATTTCAATACCCTGGAGCAGCAGACCTACGTACTCGGAGAATTTCCAATGCATTTAGATATGTATCTAAATCTCTATCTATAACTATATATTAATAGGCAAGCATGTTTCTTTAAAACCTTTTTTCTCAGCTCGTGTGTATCGTAGGGAAAATCTACGCATACCGTTAGAAAGCTATTTTCCTGTAGGTGTGCAGAATCCCTTTATAAATTAAAATAGGCTAAAAAAAAGCACAAAAGATGAATTTGAAATTTTAAAAAATTAACATGGGTCTTATGGGTTGCTATGGTGATGACGAAATAACAACAAAATATAAACAGAAAATCAAACCAAATGGAAGACATTCCAATCATATGTTTTATTTACAATGTGGGGCGAAAATAGAGAAGTTTGCACAAAACATACTTTTGGTCGATTTTTCGACCACGGGGCGTGCTCTCGTACTTATTTAATACGCAAGCAGGTTTTTTGTGACAATTACTCCTCCGAAACTACTGAACCGATTTACATGTTCTTGGTGTCATTGGAAAGAGCGTAACGTGAAGTTGTGCATGAAACTTTCTTTTTAGGGAAATAATTAGAGGGTGAGGCCCTGGGGCCCTTTAAAGTTTCGTATTTCTCCATAAGATTAACATGGGAAACAAATATTGTTATGAAACTCCAGCTGTTGTCAGAAATTAAAAGTGAAGAGAAGAACATATGTTAATTGTAAACAGTCAATAGGTTTGCTAATTTAACAGTTAGTTTGCCACAAACATTTACTTACTCGGTTGAAATGAAATAGTTACGATTTGAATTTGGGTTGGCGTAATTATTACAATGGGAAAAAACGAGAGAGCCTGGATAAATTGATATACTAAAAAGAAAACTGAATTAACACTGTGCTGCATTTCTTAGTAATCATTGAAAGAGACGATTTGCAAACTATGGAAACATAGGAAAGTCATAGAACACCACCAAGGGGAAGAAATAGAAATAATGTGTGTTATAAACACTAAAAAACAAAATCAGCTTTAGAAAAATGATAACATATTTACAAGAAATGTTGATTATATCGATCTGTTATGTACATCTTGAGTATTCCATAATCTTTGAGTCGAATCTTTTATAGTCATAAAAAAATATGACTGTTTTTTGTTTTAAAATAACGCCTGTAATACTTAGCAATTGCTCGATTTCGAGCAACAGGGACACTAGTTAATTATAAAACATGTTGTTGATATTGTATAAAATGTACAGTAAAATTCAAAAATTATATTCTTTACTTGTTAGTCTACTTATACAGCTAACTGTACCTGTTGGATTGAATGAACAGTGGAGTGAATGAACAGGCAAATAATTTGTAAAATTACTTTTTGGAGTGAACCATCTTGGAGTGAATGAAACATATCGATAATTACAACTCAAGTTGTTGCGTTATTGCCTGCTTGTATAGCCTTCATCTATGGCGACGCAATGCCCGCCCGCATCTTAGACCTTCTGGGACTCGAATCTTAGACCTTCCGGGACTCGAATCTTAGACCTTCCGGGAATCGAATTTTAGACCTTCCGGGACTCGAATCTTAGACCTTCAGGGATTAGACCTTCAGGGACTCGAATCTTAGACCTTCAGGGAATTAGACCTTCCGGGACTCGAATCTTAGACCTTCAGCAACTCTCATTTTATAAACATTTATTTAAAAAAGTTACATTATGTGCCCAAGGTCTAATCCCGCAAGGTCTAAAACAGTATCAGTGGATGAGTTTTTTGCATTGACTGTACTCTTAGACCTTCCGGGAATTAGACCTTCGACATACTACCAGATTAGACCCTCAGCAACAAGTACAAACTGCAAAATGTGTGTCGAAGGTTTAATTAGACCTTCCGGGAATTAGACTTTCAGCAACTGATCCGATATATCTTACATGTTTATCTTTTTCATGTACTATGAAGTGCCTCGCAGTGATAGGAGCTGTGTTTTACACTATACACAGGGTGGAAAAAAAGTCTCGGGACGGTGGAATATTTCAAAGAGTAATCTTAAATATTTGAAATATTAAATAATATTTGAAATATTTAATGTTATAAATGTTAAATATTTTAAGAAGAAAATCTTAAATAAAAGCTTAGGTTGATATGCACATCAAGTTAAAAGTCATAGTTAGTAAAATACAATGCCGCAAACCCGAACTCAATCGGACAACCGAGTCAAAAATTACAGCTATTCAAAGGTGCATTGAATTTGCATTGCTATTACAGTCATACCTTCTCAGGGGGGCACCCGCTAGAAGTCGGAAAAAAATCTGACTCCTAACGGGCCGTCCCCCTTAGGAGGTAGCGCATCACTGAATAATGTGTTAACATACTAAAATCTATAATGTGATTTTCTCATAAGTGACGTTAATTAACTTTCTACACATTAAACCAATGATGTAAAATGGCCTTAAACTAAGGTATACCTCTTTTAAAATCCTTTGTTTAGCTATAGGAACATGTGGAGCTTTAAACATCTTCGACACATTTTTCTTGTGATAATACTTCTTATTACTAGGTTTGTTCTTGAGCTCTTGTTCATGGGATTCGTCATGCTTAGCACCTTCCTGACTTTCACAATTTTCTTCCTCACTCTCTTCTTCATGGTCACTGTGATATCGAATACGTTTTGGCCTTTCATAGGAACGACGAGGTGGCTGAAATCAATTAAGTAGCTAAATTAAGCTAACTCCTAAGGTAGGCCAACAGATTTTGTTGTAATTTTAGGCAAATTAAAATATTGGTTCATAACAAAAATGTGCTTGTGAATTTCCCTTACAGAAGGAGAAAATCTTCTGTCATAAGGGTGGAATGTTTAGTTAAGTCGAGTACTTCTGATAATCTGAAATTTTATCAAAAGAAGCTATTCAAAACTTGTATGCCAGACACAAGGTTTTGGTAAACAAATCATGGTTTTAAAAGTGTTAGAAGTTAATTATATGAAATAATAGAAACATTTAAAAAAATCTACATCATCTAAAAACATACAAGTTTTTATATAAAAATGTTATCCAGGCCTACATTATTATTCTCAACCCTTGTTGGTAAAAGGAGTGTTTGATCAAGTTGCTACTAAAAAGGAACAAAGTAGGCGATTGACTTTTATACTATTGAGAAATGCTGCATGATAGTTCTGTAAACCAAGTATTATTTATTGTATTTTATGTAAAAAGAAGCCAATATAAGTATTATTGACTCTGAGTGATGTACAGCTATGCAGGCTCTGTTCTGGAAAATTTTGTTTTTTATTAAAAACTTTAAATTAAATTTTAATATTTTTACATTGGTCTTATAGATTGCCAAGTAGCCACAATTATTTTACAAAAATTGAAACAAAGGAATTTAACTGTGACATTATACTTATAACCAACTATTTACAGTAGACTAGCAAATTACTAAATACAGTGCTATAGAAACAAAAAGTCCATTTGAATGAATACCATCAGTGGCGTTGCTTGGTTAAATTCTAGGGGGGGGGGGGGGGAGAAGCCTCAAATTTTCCAACTGCTTAACATAGATTTCCTAACTATTTTTTTTTAGAAATCAATTCCTGTACTATTTTAAAAAATCTACAAATTATTATACTACACTGCAGTCATACTCAATTCAGTATTTATAAACTTGCATTAACAAAACATAGCTAGTTTTACATATATACAAAATTACTCAATTACTAAAACTTCTACCAACTCATAATGAAATTTTATGACTTCAAAAAACTTGAACAAGTAATGTTACAAATCCAAAAAACTTTATAAACCATTGTGGTAGCAGACGTAGCAGTGTAAAATTTTAGGGATATAAAATAAGCCTAGTACAAATTAGTATAGAAAAAATATTTTATTACAAAATAATGAATGAAATTAAAATACTTTTTAAAGTTAAGATCAAAATTTTAACTTTCATAAAACTTACAACTAGGGTAGGCCTAAACCAGTTTGTAATGATAAAATATTAATATCAGTGTTGTGAATAATATTATTCTAGTCTAGAAAAGAATAAACCAAAAATAAGACTCGTATAAAATTAAAACGTTCAACTTGGTTGATAAAAAACTTATACATACAATAAAAATGTTAACCTTCATCTTTATCAAACTAGAACTTAGACAAAAATCAAACGAGTGAAAGTCAAACATCAAATTTTAGGTTATGTTTTGTCCATGTAGATCTGTTTCAGAGTGATTAGTTGATTCATATTTGTAAATCCTTATAGGAATGGTAAATAACTTGTGTAGATTTTTTAAATATATTCAGACAATAAATATTTCATTTAGGTTATTAAAAAATAAGAGTTTTAAAGGTAATACCGATACACAAAACCTATCTTTAATGTTATATTAATCTGCTTATTAGCAAGTACTCCGGTCAGTTAGTCTGCTCCAAATACCACAAAAAAAGGTATAAAATATATTTCATGTGACTGACGGGAAATATATTTTTGAATTTCTTGTAAACACTAACAAACAACATAATTGAACTGAAGAGCTACATCGCTTGCACTTTCAAAATTCAAACTCGCAGTCTTGCAGACGAATCATTCAGAATCATCAACACAGGACAGGATCAAGGTAGCCAACATACGTCCAATAAGGAACAAATAAGGAACAATAAGGAACAAAATTTCTCGTAAACGAAATTCCAAAAAGCTATACCGCTAATTGATTATTGATTTCTTAAAATAAGGCGTGTTTAGCCATGTTTTATCAAAGTTAAATGAAATCAAAGAAGCGTCAAGTTTATTTGTCCAAGTCAAAGACATTTTTATCTTTGATGGATTTTTGCAAATATTTAAATTTTGTTTAGTTTAAAAATATATTTTTCTTGTATCTGACTTCCCAACTGTCCCAACTCGTGGCAAGGAATATGTTGTTCTCAAATACCAATGTTTTAAAAAGTCAAAAGTGTAACATTTTTCTATGCTTGTGTAATTTGTGTTTATTTACAATGGTTTTTAAGGATTTAAGATGTCAAGAGTGTGAACATAATTTTGTATAAACAGCACCAATAATTGAACATGATAAAATGTTATTATATTGTTTTATTATATACTAGCAGAGTACCCGTCCTTCGTACGGGGTTGGCATATAGGAATAAAATGCTTATTGCAGTTATACTCAAGTTTTGCGTTTTCAATGGGAGAGGACACAGTTTGAAAAAATTTGCTTCTTTAAATTTATGGTATATACTAGCTGACCCGGCGAACTTCGTATCGCCTAAGTTATAGGTTTCCCCTAAGACAGACCGATGGAAAGAAAGTACCGTTACGTTTAATTTTCAAGATAATCTCGTTCGCATCGCTCAATCACGTCCTGGTTGAAGTTCGTTCGCTACGCTCACTCACCTTTGGGTTGGAGCTCGTTCGCTACGCTCACTCGCCTCCAGGTTTTGGTTGCAAATTAGCTGTTGTCATAAATGTAAAAGAAATAATAGTGCTGCACCCTGTTGGTAATCCTTGTAACTTTAATGCTATTGAACATCATAGAACAGAACCAACTTGTTTAATTGAAACAGCTGTTAAGATTCATTAATTCCATTTCTCATAAGGTTAACATGGGAAACTCCAGAGCCACTGGGGCGGAGCCCTTTTAAGAATTTCGAAACGGGAAATAGTTTACGTCCGATTCGCATACCTACAGAATTTACACACCAAATTTCATAACGATCGGTGAAGTCGTTCCGGAGGAGTTTGCAGACAAACACTGTGACACGAGAATTTTATATATTAGATAGTATTACACATCTACCATAGCCATAATGTTCTACCACTTCACCTAAACCACCTAAATAGAGAAAAATTAATTATTAAAAATTCACAAAATATCACCACAAATTATTCATTAAATTAAATACCCCCGCCGCAGCAAACCTGCAGACAAGCGAATTTCTATTAGCCTGATAGGATTTACACTAAAATGCCCCCTTAAAAATATCATATTTATTCCCTATTTAAATAGAATTAGTTTAACGAGTACTTAGGTTTGCTGCAACAGGGAGGGTAAAAAGGTGTTTTTTTTGTTAATAGTTTAGTAATAAATGAATGTATTTTCCAAATTCGATCAAAATATGTTCATAAACAAGCAAACTACAACAGTTGACTTATTCTCCATAAGAATAACATGGGAATTTTAAATTTACAGTTTTTTGGAATTTTCTCCGTAACCATTAGGCGCACAATATCGCTTCAATATACAAAATTATTTGTTTTTTTACACTCTACAAAATGGTTTGAAAAGAAATTGTAAAATTATGTGTTTTTAGGGTCAAAAATGGGAAAAACCTATTTTTACCCCATAAAACCCCCCATAAACCCCCGTTCCCATAGTCCGATCATGCTGGTTCGCGAACTCGTTCCAATAAATAAATGTAGGTTTACACGTTTGTACCAAATTTCATCAAAATCGGATCATTTTTGCTCGAGTTATCGTGCTAATGGACACATATAAATCTATAAGTATAAAAGAGGATGTTTGTATATATATATATATATATATTTGGCAGTGATAAACCCAGACACCGCTGAACCGATTGCCACGAAACTTGATACATACGTGTAGAATTTCATGGAATAGGTTTATACACCATCAATTTTGTGATCCGTCCAATCGGCTCCGCCCCAGTGGCTCTGGAGTTTTCAATGTTAACCTTATGAGAAATGGAATTAATGAATCTTAACAGCTGTTTCAATTAAACAAGTTGGTTCTGTTCTATGATGTTCAATAGCTTTTAAGTTACAAGGATTACCAACAGGGTGCAGCACTATGATTTCTTTTACATTTATGACAACAGCTAATTTGCAACCAAAAGGTGAGTGAGCATAGCGAACGAACTTCAACTTGGAGGCGAGTTAGCGTAGTGAACGAGCTAACCTGAAGGCAAGTGAGCGTAGCGAACGAGCTAACCTGAAGGCAAGTGAGCGCAGCGAACGAGCTCCAACCTTAAGGTGAGTGAGCGTAGCGAACGAGCTCCAACCCAAAGGTGAGTAGGCGTAGCGAACGAACTTAAACCAGGACGTGATTGAGCCATGCAAACGAGATCATCTTGAAAATTAAGAAGTTAAACGGGGCAAAGCCCGCGGGTTACAGCTAGTATATATATATATATATATATATATATGAATTTGAACGGATGGTGTTTTTGGCCTCTAGGGACCTCTAAACAAAAAAATAAATCGGTCCCGGGTCCAGGTCTTACCACGAGTACTACGGTAATAGCTTATTCCCTATATGGGAAATTCGCTAAAACATAAACAGCTGTAAACAATCCTACTTTGACAGTTCTCATTGCGTTCACAGCTTTTTGTTGCTGCTTATAGTCCGTGAGGTTGGTGAAGGACTCTGAGGGATTAACGTCCCTTCCACCAACGCACGCACACTCGCCAGCAGGGCCCTACCTACCCCACGGCGAGTGACCCATGTCTGTGTGTGTAGGTGTGTCTCTCTGTGTGTGAGGGCTGTAATCCCTTAGAGTCCTTCGCCGGCCTCACGGACTATAGTTTAAATTAACTGTTATAAATGCAAAATAAAAATAATAGTGCTGCACCCTGTTGGTAAATCTTATAACTTTTTAATGCTTTTGCATATCATAGAATCAACTTTTTTAGTTGAAACAGCTGACTAAATTCTTTAATTCCCTTTAAATATGAATTCTCATAATAGTCGGAGAAATATAGGATATGACCTTAAAAAAATTGCAAGAAAACGTTTTATGGTTTTATTTTGTAGAGTTGGGTTTGCAGAATGACAACAAAAATCAAAAGTTGCCAAAAATCGGTGCACGAGAAAACAACTAAAATCAGAATTTAAAATGGCGGCTTTTTCCAACATTGGACAAACTAAATAAACATATTTCACATGCATTTGTTATGCACATTTTTCGAGATATTGACTTGGGACTACCGCCTGTATTTATTGGGTGGTTAGTACCTTATTTTGATAGGGAACATGTTTTTGGCCGCCATCTTGGATCCGCCATATTGGACATAGATAATTTTTTTTCAATGTAATGATAGTGTTGTGACACATCATTACCAACTACATTTTTACACTGATTTCAATGCCGAAATCCGTTTTTAAATATCTTTATTCATTTAGAAGATATATTCAAACGAATACTCTCCACCATACATTTCTTATGGACGTTTCATAGTTTGATAATTTTGTTAAAACCATTTTTCTTATATCTACAGTTCTTATTGACGCTTGTAGTTCGTTCTAGGCTTAAAATATTCAATAATGTAAGGGCTTTCATTTAAGCTCTTGATCATTAAAATCAGACGAGTTAAAGACCAGCTACGAACCTCAGAACAATATTAAATTTAACTTTTTAGAAATATATTTTTATTAAAAGATTTATAACTCGGGTTGTTAATACGTCACAAAGTTATTTCTGGTCTCAAATTACTCGGTAAATGTTTGGCTTTAATTTTATTGATCATTAAACAAAATCTGACAATTTTAAAATGAGTCATGGACCATAATCTATAATATTAAAACAAAACAGTGTTTTTTTATTCCACGATTCTGAATCAACCACTCGACGGATTTTCATGATTTTTGTGTTGAAAGAAATATCATTTTGAGAACTAGGGAATGTCGAAGCCATAATTTTAGTTTAGGGTCCCAGTTTTTTAGAAATTAAGTTTTAATTTTTAAAAAGTCTAGCAGGCGACGCTAAGATTCTAAACTAGCTTTTTGCATAAAATAATTTGCTTAACATAACAGCTGTAAACATTCAGCTTTTGTGTCACAAATTCAGCATTTGGATAAAAATGTAAAGACATACTTAGGGTTGACTTATTTATACTACTGTATGTGTAATGCTAATCATTGATACGTTAAATTCTTCTGTAAGAGGATGACAGATTAATTAAATCAATCAAGAATCAATCAATCAAGAAATTTTTTTATTTACACAATAATTGCCAATACATAGGATACAAAAGTGCAAAAACCACAAATGGTTTGTCTGCACTAAAAATATTGTTTCTTATTTACCATATAAATATATAGATAGTAAAATACTAGGATGTTCAAATTATTTTTTAAAGCAATTTTTGTAATCTTCGATTTGTTTTAGAGCAATATACTTTGTTTTGACTAACAGCTGGTTAAACATAAACTATGGAACTATGAGGTTATTTTATTTACTCTTATTTTGTCATTGATTATAGGAAATAAGTAAGATTAGTAGAGATAATTAGACCACAGTTTAAAATAGTTTAGACCAAAATTAATTAAACCACAGTACAAATCGAGGCTCTGTACACGAGTCTTAATAAAAAAGGGCAAATGCAAAATTATTTTACTGCTCCACTTTTCAAGGAAAGAATAGAAAAATTACAATGTTTATATGTTTTAATTCTTCATGGTAGCTTTTTGTTTACAATTAATGTTTGTCTGCTTTAACTTTGTTTGGATTAGGCCCGGAAACATTGATGTCATAAAAAGAAGATCAAGAATAATCAGGAGTCACGATTTTAAATTACCACCACAACCTCAGCCGGGTTTTATACAAAGATAAACAGATGGATGACATAGATTGAACACAACGTCAACATTGACCTAGGATACTGCAATTAGACAAATCATCCTTTTATAAAATCGTGTTCAGTTGCGGTTACGTTTGGGGGTGCCTATATCAGCGCCCCCAAACGTGAAAATATCACTTTTATTTCAACTATGAATATATTGTGGTTTAAATTAACTAATATGGGAAATTACGATGTACATTTATTCAAAGAGGGTGGATAATTATCAAGGATAGAACTGATACCGGTATGGATAATAAACATTGACAATTACGTCATTAGCTTCACTAGCGTGTTTACTTTTCATATTCTTGCTGCATGTAACCAGTTCTTTTTTTTCAAATGAATGTTATTTGAACCAAACAGCTGTTTCAAAACAAACTGTTATTGTTTTTACTTTTCTTTGTTTACACTTATTTATTTAGCAATTAATGCAGTGAAATTGATATAAAGGATAGGTGTGGCGATTAGTTTTGATGTTAGGACACCAAAGTTAAATTATGTGTACTGTGAATTTTATTGGATATTATCGTTTTATTTTAGGTCGTTTCTATTCAGACCTTCTGGAAATTGTGTATAGTAGTTGTATTGTGGTGATAATAATTATGGAAGAGGCAGGTATGCGATGGAAGGTGGTATCGTTGACTAGGTCTATACACTTCTCAATTGACTATTACTCTCTCTAATGTAGGCTACTTATAATCAGTGTGCGTCTGTGCGAATCGGCTGCAAATCTCACTTCAACGCTTTTCACATCGTAAAAATTGCAGGATTGCTGTTTTATTGTAAAATTATCGGATTTAAAATGCATATCCTATAGGCCTATATGATGGAATAATAACATATTTGGTCACAACATTTGTTTATAATACGATTTTTCACATTAAAACTGCAAGCAACTTTGTCTTTATATGTGTAAACTAGCTGATCTGAATTGTACACGGTTTTAACTGACTACTGAATTCCCGTACGTAGGACGGGCTAACACCTCGTTTAACATTAAAATGTATTTATATTGAAATTTGTCTTTAGTTAAAGACGTATATCCCCAATTCTAAATAACTCCCAAAACTCTTTATAGTCTTAAATAATTTGCCAAATTATTGACTTTTATTTTAGCTATGGATTACTTTCCGGGAGTTATTAGGGTTTGGGATATATGTCCTTAACTAAAGACAAATTTCAAAACAAATACATTTTAATGTTAAATTAAGAACCATGACTCATTTTAAAATTGTCAGATTTTGTTTAGTGATTAATAAAATCAAAGCCAAATATTCACTGAGTAATTTGAGACCAGAAATAACTTTGTGACGGATTAACAACCCGAGTTATAAATCTTTTAATAAAAATATATTTCTAAAAAGTTAAATTTAATATTGTTCTGAGGTTCGTAGCTGGTCTTTAACTCGTCTGATTTTAATGATCAAGAGCTTAAATGAAAGCCCTTACATTATTGAATATTTTAAGCCTAAAACAAACTACAAGCGTCAATAAGAACTGGAGATATAAGAAAAATAGTTTAAAAAAAATTATGTTCACTGCTCAGTCTCCTGGTGATATTACATAAAATTTAGTTTTTTTTTCTGAATTACGGCAGTTTATTTTATTTTTTGTTGTATTCTTTTGTTTTTATTTTTTTTGATATTAGCCTAATTACATTTTAGGTAAGATAGTTGATTGAAACAAATTAAACTCAACTCAATGATTTGCTAGTTTTCTTATACACCCTAAGTGAGCCTTTTCATGGGGTATAAAGATGAAGCCACATTGGAAGGATAGAATAGAAACTAATTGTGTAGTAAACGTTATGTGTGTTTTTAACTGACAAGAAGTCTTTATTTTTCAGGCAAGTTTGTTGTGTATTCACTATTCCATTCTTAGTGCATTCCTAGGCCAAGAACCTTTCCTTCTAAAAGAACAAAAAAAGAAAACACTAAGGGCTTACCTTTGTAAATGTTATTGTGGTCTCAACTTCTTGGTTAATTGGCAAAGATGAATTGCTATGAATTGAAGAAGAGGAAGAATCAGACTCATAAACATCACTTTGTTTTTTAATTTTGCTTTTGGTTTTAGGGATGGAGGCTTTTAGCATTTCTATCACTTCCTTTGGATCCAGTTTTGGATGCTCTATTTCATTGTATCCAAACAACTCATGCTGGCGCCTGGGAAGGATTTTAGGCTCTGGAAGATTTATGCTTTTTATTGGTGACACTAATGGTTCTTCTAGCTCTTCAGGCTCGTCAAAACCAAAATATTTATCATCAACTACCGTGTTTTCTAATGCTTCTTTTATAAGACCAGTGCTTGTTTTTAACTTGTTAAGAACATCTGTCTGGCGAGAATCATCGAAAACACTGTTATGACGTACCACCAAAGACCCCTGCTTACAAGGTGTTGATGACAGAAAATCATGGGAGGAACCTGTTGAAATATTTGCTGAACAGTGAGACAGTTGATTGAACAAAGTCTCATTAGCTGAGGCGCATTGAGAAATTCTACTATGTGTATGGTCAGAAAAGCTTCTTTTGGAAGTGTAACAACGCTGTTGTAAACCAAATGACGTTTCTGAGGTTACATTAATGTCTTTGGGTAAAACTGAAGATTGATTTTTTGGTTGAGTGTCCAATTCGCTGTTAGCGACATCAGGAGGATTAACAGCATTACTAAAACTATTACTTGATTCATGAATAGGGCTCGGCAAATTCTCAGAGTGTGTTTCATGAAGGATACTCAGTTTATTTTTTTTCTCTGAAACTTGTTTGTTGCATGGAAGGTACGATGATGGATGAGACATAAAACTTTGCACAGAAGAACATGTACTTTCAGTGTCATTTAGGTTATTTACAGATTGAAATGACTGACATGACGGACCTACTTTTGTATTAACTTTCTTACGGCTGATTGGTTTTTCAGGCAACGATACTAAACTTTCCGTAGAACTATATTTTATGTTGTTAATTGTTAGGGCTTTTGGGCCTACCTTAGGCTTTTTTACATAAGGCTTCCTTTTTTTCTTTTTCTTTTTAACTGGTTCTTCATTTTCATCTATCTCATCAAAGTCATAGACGGTTTCTTTCATTGCATTAGTAACATTGCAGGCATTGTCTAATTTAGAATCAGCAATTTTAGCCTTGTACACAGGTATGTGATGTTTGATGTCACTCTTTTCCTCATGACTTTTATTTGACGGATTGAAGTTCGTACACAAATTTATACTTTCCTTTTTTCCTTTTGTTCTTTTATTTTTCTCTTCAAGAGATTTGCTTAGTGCATGTTCTTTAGTAACAGCAGCTAAAGGAGAATTTGTTTTATCACTCAAAATGTGTCTTTTAGTTTTGGTATCTGTATTGATTTCACTATTTTTAATAGTATAGATGAAATCATCAGTATTATAGCAAGATTTGCGATGCCTCTCAGATTTTCTCAAGCTACATTCATTGTTGTTAACAGAAGTCGAGTTTTGTAGTGAGTTTCCCACAACTTTACTCTCTACATTTTCCTTTGACGCTAATACAGTGGAACGTAACTCCCTTGGATTCTTCTTATTATTCTCTTTACCTGTTGCTATGCTCTGATTATGTAAAGAGTTTTCCTTGGAGTGTCCTAGATTTTCGTCTTGAGACCATGTTAAATGTTTTTTCCTTGATATTTTGGAGCACATTGCTTTAGTCATATTCAATCTGAAAAATATTTAATTATGATAGGTACATCAATTGTAATAACAAGTAGTAAACTTGTTATAACATATAAAAACACACTCCTAAACTGCCAAAATATATAGGCCTACTATCTTCAAACATAGGTCTGATTCACAACAATTACTTGAAAAAAGGGTTTAGAACAAATACTGCTGACATTCAATAGCAAGAAAATTGGCAAGTTACGGTAGAGTTTTGGTACAGTCCCCTCTTAACCGACCTTGCATTAACCGATAATCGGATTATCTGTCCTCGCTCGTAAAATATTACAGTTTATTTTAACCGACCTTGTTTTGAGAGCAGTTCGCTTTAAAGGCCGCTTTGTAGGAATCTTGACCTTTTCGCTCCAACGCTCGGCAATGAAAAGTAGGTATACACTAAACTCTACAGTAAGTTACTGTATAAATAAACAACCTGTATTTTAACAAAATGGTTGCTTGTATCTTTATTTAGAAAATAAGTTCTGTGGCCTACTGTATTAAGATGGATTTGGAAAGCATCAATTAATATTACTAAAGGTATTAAAATTAGAATTTCTAGGCTATTACCTCTTGCCTATGACTATTATAATTTATTCCACTGAAAGTATTTGACTTTACCCTGTTTTGGATTTATTTGTGACCTTTCTATCTGCAATACTTAAGAAAAATAACCCCGCCGCAGCAAACCTGCCGATTAAGCGAATTTCCTTTTGTCTGAATAGATTTTCAATTAAATCTATTTAAATAACATTAAGTTTAACGAGTACTTAGGTTTGCTGCTATAAAGAAAATAATAAAGTGAGGTTTTTAGTAAAATACTAATAGCTTAGTATAAAATAAATAAATTTTCCAAGTTTGATCAAAATATAGGCCTATCCATAAACAAGCAAACTACAACAGTTTACAATATTCTCCATAAGAATAACATAGGAATTTAAATTTAGGCTACAAATTTTACTTTCTCCCCCTAAACCATACATATGGAGAAAGTATTGTTTTCGTCAAAATTTTCGAGTTTGAGTTTTGAGTGGATATATCCGCTTTGGGTCCCCCTGGATAAAAAAAGTGGTTTTCAAACTGATGTGTGTGTGTGTGTGTGTGTCTGGATGTGTACAGAGCTAGGGTCTACACCTGTGGTCTGATTTCAATAAAATTTGGTGTGTAGGTTCTAATCCATGGTATCTCTAGGAATTTTTTTTCATTTTTTTAAAATTTAGATTTATAGGCCTTATGTTGATTTTTCCATGATAACCTATAAAATAACGGAAAAGACAGATTTCCACAAAAATGCCCCGAACAATTTTGATAATTTAGTATGTTGTAGCCCTTTACATTCTGAACAAAATGGTATGACTCCCATTTCTGTAAAAATTACGGTTCAAAATTTATTGTAAATTATGTTATTTTCCCATAAAATTACAAAAAATAGAATTTTTGAAAAGCCGGTATTGATTTAACTTAGTATGTTATGGTCCTTATAAATAAAAAAGAAATAGTACAAACACCCCATTGTTGTAACAATTACGGTTAAAAGCTATTGCAGCTTTTGTGATTTTTAACTATAAAATATCATATTTACTCTCACCGCTTACCCATGATAAAGGTTGTTGATAAGCTTTTGCGAGAAAGTATGTGTCAGAATGCTGATACCGTTTATTTGAATTTTCTCCATTACCAATAACCGTACAAAAACACTTTGATATACTAAATTATTTGTTTTTTTAAGCTCTTTAAAAAGGTCTAAAGAGAAATTGGGAAATTTTGTGTTTTGAGGGTCAAAAATGAGAAAAACAATTTTTTACCCCATTAAATCCCCTGTTAAGGGGATTTCCACGGTTTGATCATGCTGGTTTGCGAATTCATTCAAGTTTATCCCCCCTTACAAATCCATATTTCATCAAAATCAGACAAAAATTACTCAAGTTCACGGATATATATATATATACTAGATAACATGTGGCTTTAAATAGAGCAAAACTGCAACCTGTAATAAAAGAATAAAGAAGGAAAACAAAAGTTATCAATATATCTTTAATACTTTAATCCTTTTCATTGAAATGGTGACCATAAAAAGTAGGTAACGTCACTATATGTTTCCTGAATTACTGACCTACTTACAATTATTCAATATGGTAACTCAATAATATGTGGACTAAGATCATTGTGAATAGGTAAAGAGACATCACCAAGTTTCTGGGGGAAATTACAAAGTCCACTTCAACTTGTAAAGCATGCATGTTTGTTGTTAATTTGAATTTCTTTATGCTTGACCACTGTGCGGATGATTTTACACAGTTTTCTACAATAGTGGTCTGCGATGAATGTTTAAGAACTTTCAGTATTTGTTGAAGCTTCGCAGCATAGTAAAAGTGTTTTCCCCCCAAAAACATGTCATGGATCTTTAAATTGTAGATCCGATTCGTGGTACTCTCATCTAAATGAGCTTTGGAGCTGACCATTACAAAGGTTGGATTTAATTGACAAATTTTCTCCAAAAATTTTCCGGATCTAGGTCTTGTAGCCCTGTTTTTAGATTGGGAGTTTCCAAGTTAATAAGTTCCTGAAAGAGTATAAGGGAACTCCACAAATGAGGTAAAAAAAACCTTTCCTTTATGGCAACACAGAGTTAAACATGTAACTGTCTTAGCCAATATTTTCTAGCTTAAAATGTAAGGCATCACCATGTTAACATTAAACTTTCTTTTGTCCGAGGTTGATGTAGCACCACGGCGGTCTAGTACTGCCGCTCTGTATACGACGAAATGTTACATTGGGAGGGTGTTGCAAGCGGTCACGTTCGCGTTCCCTCCGGTCACTCGCAATTCTTGGTCTTAAGTAGCATTTAATTTTGAATTTAATAAAACACTAAAGAGTTAACCAAACAGAAAACAACACAACAAAGAAAATGATACACATTGTAAATTACATCTATATAAATAAAATTAGAGTTTTGTCTGTACATTGCTCAGAATCATACATTTTTAGGTTATTTTTACGTTTTATACATTAAAGAAGCCGAAACAAGTCTCATCTAAATTTCTGTCTGTCTGTTTGTCTGTCTGACACACTCAAGATGGCATTTTACGCAATCTTCTCCAGGAAAACGAGAGTACCTATCAAGACCCAAGTCATTTTAATGTATTCACTGGATTGGCGAGAGTGTCTTTAGCCATTAAAATATGGTCTCACTACTTTGTAATTAAAATTACGGCCGTTCAAAAATGCAGTTTTGTGCGATTTTTGTCAAGTTTTCTTCCAATTTGTATCACATAATCATCTATGAAACAACGAACAGCTGTTCGGATCAAGATTATTTTTTCTAGCTGTCACTGAAATGTTTACAAATGTTGTTTACAAACACCACAACCATTTCCGATCACGTTTTGAAAGCAAATCCCATCCAAGTGAGATTAAAAACGTTTTTATTGCATAAAGGATTTAATTAATCGCAAGTGGAATAACATAGTGTAACCGTAAATTAAATAACTAGGCATCATCCAGGTCAGGAACCAGAAATATGTGTATAAAATTGTTTTGGAGTTTTGATAACCAGAAAGAAGACATTGAATCAAGATTGAATCAGTGTTGTATACGGCTGGGAAACTTAAATTTACTAATGACCGTCGCCAATAGCTTAGAAACAATGTTCCACTCATTGACGGCTCTTCAATGGCGGTTGTGTAAAGTGTAAAGCAAAAAATTACAACTGCAGTGGGTGATTGTAACAGAGGTTTACGGATGATGCTGAACTTGATTTTCCAATGTGTCACTTTCTGTTCCTACCATTGACTATATAAAGTCCTACTCCCCGTACACGGACCACACACGTATCACGTATCATACAGTATCCGTGTACTGGACACTATCCGTGTGTGTGTATCGGACGGTGAGTTCCTACTCACCGTGGGACCATACAGCCAATAGGCCCATAGCCCTTCTCTTGGGTACGTGTGGTACATATGCTTACCCAATTATTTATAACAACCCTTTCGACAACAATCCTTGATACCGGTACTTTTCCATAGAATACACGGCCTACCTAGGTACTTAAGAAATAAAATTATAAATGTCCAAAAACCCAACGTTGTGTGATTTTTGTCACATTTCCTTAAAATGTTAATATATATACCAGCAACCATTGTTTAGAGAATACGTAATCTATTAAATAACAGAAAGTTATGTTGTATAAGGTTTTTTTTTTAAACTGACACCGATAAGTATTACATTAAGAGTTGTGTACAAATAAAGCAATTAATGGGAAATAACTTTGATTGCCGATAACTTTTTACGAGAAAATCCAAAACCAAGAGATCAATAACCTTGATTAACGCATATATAATTGGTCGGCTGTACTACAGTTCTTAACTGTAAACGTTGGTTTTTGGCACGGTACTGGTTCTTTTCCTTTTAACCTTTAGTAGCAGCAAGAATCATTTTTACGTACCAACACATCACAGTAATTTACAAATTAGTTATCGTTGGTGTTGCACCTTATTTATTAAAGGCGTAGGCATATTCAATTTAATTGATGTCTTAACTGTATAATTTTTGCTTTTTCTGTCTGGATTCCAAAATGTTATGCTAAGAAAACTATAACGCATTTTAGTAAAACATTTATTCAGCAAACTATCATGAATTGTTCAAACACTTTGAACGTTGTTTATGTATCAATAGTTCATGGCCTATTTTGGTAATTTTTATTACAAATTATTAATCTAAATCGTCTATAGTAGGCCTACTGTACTTCATTTCATATAGCAAACCGATTCAGATAGCATTTCGACAGAATTTCAAGTCATCTCCGGTCCAAGCAAATATAAATTGTTATGATCAAATTTTATGGCATTAACAAAGATTTCAAGTACTAATTTTATATGTACCTTTTTATGCTTAAAGCGTAGCAGATTCCCTAATTAAGTTCGGTATTTTTGTGTGTATGTATGATGGTAACGCATTAATGTCCTTGTTTCTCAATGTTTCACGGAAAGGACAAGAGCGCCTTGATAATGAAAATGTCAACCCGAATAAAGTGTTAAATTAAGAGGTTGAGGTAGTACCTTAAATACTTTTAACCATTATGTTATAGTCCTTTAAATTCTGAACAAAATTTTACAAATCCCATTTCCGTATATTTACTCTCACCGCTTACACATGATAAAGGTTGTTGACAAACTTATGGGAGAAAGTATGTGTCAGAATGCTGATACCGTTTATTTAGTTTAATCATTGGATATAACATATGGACCAACAAGATCCGGGTGACATTTAATTGCGAAGCATTAGTTTTGGCTTGAAACTGTCAGATACTGAATTTGCGAAGGAATAGTTTTGTCAGCATATCTGAAAGTATGCAAACCAACTGCTGTGCTTTATATAAGAAGGTTTTAACTGACTATGATAAGATCCCCGTGCGTAGAACGGGCACACAGCTAGTACATGATAAAATGGTATAGTAATGGGCAAATGCATTGCGAATTAGCATTTTTAAACATTCACTTCATTATACCGAACTGTAACCCTATGTGATGATTCAGGGTCTATCCATATCAAGTGATCCAACAGGGGTTGCTTGACCATTTTTAAAATAAATAATATTTTTATCCTAGATACCTTTATCAATTCTGGGTTCAAAAGTGATTTTAAAATTTTTTTATCTATTTTGTTACTCCTACGGCGGCCATTTTTGTTTTGCAGAACACGCAAATTTTTGCTCATGTAAGGGTTTGCGTTAACTTGCACAACTCGGTAACCATGAACACTAGAGTGATGAAACAAAAAGCATTTTAATCTGGAAGAAACAGCCTAAATATTATGTTCAGTACATATTTATTGAAATGTGTATCAAAAACAGTTTTAAACCCATCTCAACATTTCATAAGAAAACGGAAAAATTTCAACTTTTGAAGGCGTATTACCATTGGAACGAATAAAATTTCAGACTTGATTTTTTTTGTGTGTGTAGCAACTCAGTAGAACTGTTTGTATTTCAAATATCAACCATGAGACTTAATTCCTTTAAAAGTTATCATTTTTCAAAAACTGAAATTTTTTGAAAAATTCAAATTTTGAGTCACAATATCATTGTTGGGACAAAGTTTAAAAATCTGAAATTTTTACCAAAAACCCCTCTTATGGTTGTTATACTGCTGTATGAATTTCATCTTTGAGATTTACTTTTAAGCTAAGTTACAGTATCATGAAAATCGCAAAAACCCCATAAGCTCGACCAACGCGGCTAGTACTGTAGGTAGCTTAAAAATTAATTTATAGGTGTAGGTAATTATTTTATTTAATGTAAACTTACCTAACTTACTTTAAAGTAATGTATAGCCTTTTCTTGCAAATTTCTTGTCTTATGTGAAATTAAAAAAAACTTTTTTTCAGATTATTTTCATTCAATGTTACACCTTTTTTTCAATAGGCCTAAATATTTTGAACTAATTTATTAATTTATTGAACCACTTTCATTTTAATAAAGAATATTAGAAATTTTACATACAAAAGCTGTTTGAAAGACAAGTTCTTAAAGTATACAACTTTTTTTACTTGTTAGTGTTTTTTGTTCTACTTTGATCATGCTAATTAGGAAGTTTGGATGTTTCTTCATTCAGTTTGGGTTTGTCCTTCCAGTGGTTTTTGTCAGTTAAAAGAGATTTAATTTTCTCAAAACTTTGTTTATAGGCACCCAAGCTTGGTCTTTCTAATTTGTTTTAAAGGCGGTTGGTTGTTGGTCCTGCTGGATCTTTATTTTGATAACTGATGTCAATCACCTCTGCCACCCACCACTGTCATACACAAATGCAATAGAGTTTTTTCCTAGCTTAGGGGACTTCTAAACTCTCGCGGACAGTATACTGTACTCGAAGTAGTCACTGTCATAACACTGGAGGAACTGCACATGTGCGTGCGGGCGTGGAGATGCAGTGCGATATGGCAACAGCGCCTGTTGCTATGGAAACCGCGTCAGGCTCTCTTTGCTCTTATTGGTCAGGTAGTCAACCTGGCAGTTCTCCCTCTTACTCGAACGTCAGATCGCCCCACCACGCCGATACGGAAGTTGCATCTATTCAAGTATAATTTAAAATGGCTTTAAAATTCACAATATCCCGAAGTCCCCGGATTGGATTGAAGGCCCGGGATTGATACCCCTAAATATGTCATTAATGAACTGATTGAACAATATTATAGTTTATGCCTTTAACAGCTTGAAATACTTGCAATTCTTTTATTGAAGCGTAACATTTTCTTAAGTGAGCGGAGCAGCGGACACTTAAACATTGACATTGACAGAAACCGAAAGAATTAACTTAAGTCGTGTGTGTTGAAGTTAGACTACCGGTACTTTAAGAATAAAGTCGAATTAGGCATACCTACTTCAAGATAAAACTGATAAAAGTCTAAGTGAATGAAAAATAAAAAGAAGTTGAATGTCCCTTCAGGGCCGTCGTACATAAATATTAGACTGTCAATGATTACATTTGATTTAATTTTAGATTTTATAATAAAGAAAAGTAAACGTTAAACATGGTAGCCTATTATTTTTATTGCACAAATTTTCAGTCAACAAATGATTTTAAAGAACATTTTTAAAAACAGTGTTCTATCACTTTTCCCTGTGGTGAATAGATGAACAGGGTTTTCCTAACTTACTGGAGCCACGGGAGCACACCACATTATGCTCTTATGAGGTGATGTGTACAAATAACCTAGGCCTACACTATTTCTAAGATTTTGAGGAACCAATTAAAATATGGGGTGCTAACTTAGTGCTTTCTGAAACAAATATGACTTTTTATTTGTAAGCTACTTACGTCCCCTCATGTTTCCAATTCAGTGCAACCTCTACCGAGTTAAGTTAACTTGTTTAATATACTAGGCCTAAGTTACTTCTAAAACTTATTATTACTTAGCACAGTTCGTGGTAGGCCTAAAGTAGGCCTAAAGGGTTTAAGCTACAATTAATAGGCTAAGCTTTTTAAGTTATGGACCTGTGAACGCAATAATTTCATCAAAATTGTTTTTGTTGAAACACCTACAGAATGGATACCCTAGGCTTAGGCCTACAGTAAGTTCGGTAAAGAGTTTTTTGGTTTGGACTGACTTACCCTAATAATAGGGGAAATATAAGAAAAAGGGAAAAATCCCTGCCAGAAATTCCCACTCCCCAGAGCCATCATCTACCGTACCCATTCCTACGCTTGTCTTCAGCTGACCCTTCCAATTGCAATCGCGGTAATTATTCCGTATAGGTGCCTCCAAACGAATTTTAAATTTTGATATCTTACTTTATAGTTGTTTACCTCCTGAATCCAAATATACCATTATTTTTCACAGCTGATGAATATTTCTCAAGATATCGCCATTACAATAAACAAGGTAGGATGGATGACATTTACAGGTGGAATGAACTATGGGTTAAGTAAACCAACAGCTGATTGTTTTCCATCATAGTCAAGCAAATGGAAGTGACAATTTTAATTAGCTAACTCTGATTCTGCAATATGAAAATCACCTGATTAAGTTACACTTTTCACTTTCTAAGACCAATAAGTTATTAATGTATTATTGTTACCCAGTATTTTATCCTTATTAATGATTTATTGATTTATATTTCACCGTTTAGAAATTACATAATAAAATGGTGCTATTCTAACATAACCTAACATAACCTAACCTAACCAAACCTCTAGAATGTAAGCAAACTCCTTGTCAGAAAAGGCATGTCAGGGTGGTAGGTCGTGCGTTATGTGAATTGGCGACTGCATTAAGTCCTTTGAAGGTAGGTTAGATTAGGTAAGTTAAAGTTTAGGTTATAATGTATCGAGTTGTTAGTTTATGTCGCCTGCAGACTGTTTTTGTAAAATTACAATCCAGAAAAAACACTTCAAATTACAATTTCAAAAATGCAAGCAAGCATTTTTGAAAAAGTAATTTGAAGTGTTTTTCTCAGGATTTTAATTTTACAAAAACAGTCTGCAGGCAACATAAACTAACAACTCGATACATTATAACCTAAACTTTACCTTCCTAATCAAACCTAACTTTAAAACACTTAACTTAATGCAGTCACCAATTCACATACAGCATGACCTACCACCCTGACATGCCTAAATAAGAACTACATGTAATTAGTCCACCAGTCCATCTATATTTCCATAATGTGACGAAATTCCTGTTACAGAGAACATGTTATTTGACTACAGAATCACTTGAAATGTTATCCATCCTATCTTGTTTATTGTAATGTTAAGTATGTTTTTACGGTGATATCTTGAGAAATATTCATCAGCGGTGAAAAATAATGGTATATTTGGATTCAGGAGGTAAAAAACTATAAAGTAAGATATCAAAATTGAAAATTCGTTTGGAGGCACCTACAGGAATAAATACCGGAATCGATACAAAAAGGTTAACAAACTCTATATGAGCTAGGCCTAGATTACCCATAAAAGTCAAATCCGACATGATGATTAAATTCTACAAACCACTGACCTATAAAGACTAGCTTGTATCTAAGTTTACCCTGATCTAGAAAATACATTTTTTCGTCCATTATGATTGCTTGTTTGGAAATCATACAGAAAGACTAAGCTAAAATGATAATAAGTTACTGAATAAAAATGTTAATAGCCCTACTACTTTACCATATACGGCATCAATTGAATAGTATTCCCTACAACTTTAACAAAACCATACTTACATTGTGTGGACAAGTTAATTCATAAATAGTAAAAAATGAAACTAATAAATAAACAAATAATTTCACTCTGTAAATTCATAATAAGTGTACGTACTAGGTAGGTAGATAGATTCATTCATTCTGTCAGATTCTCAACTGACACTAAAATAAGCGTTTAAATAGTTCATAGAGTAACAAAGAAATTTAGCCAACTAATTGAAGCATAGAGTATAATAACTCATAACTCATTTATTGAACCAAAATAAATAGTAGACATCTCAAATAACCGACATCCCACTTTACAGACATCCCATATTACCGACACTGTCGATATTTTGAGTTGACGACAATATGGGACTATTTCAGTGTCGATCTTTTGGGATGTCAATAAACTGGGACCCCACGGTATGTACACGTCAACCCGCCACCTCGGTTTTTTGTAGTGGCGGGTTGACGCCTCTGACCCACTGAGCTATAATTCTAACTGGAGGTAGCACTGAATGTCAAAGATGCGTGTCGCCAGCCGCCATGTTTGCGTGAGGTGGGTGTCCATAAGAAGCCATATTATTGCTATAACTATTATTATACTTGGCTTAAAATACCTACTTTGTATGTTCGCCATTTCAAAGAAAATTATTAAAGTATTAAAAGTATTCAAGTATGACAAAAATACTCACTGCTATACCAACCTAGTTATAAGAAGCCATGTTATTGCTATGGTAAGAAAACTTACTGCTATACCAACCTAACAAAATCAGCGACTCGCTTTTGACAGACTTCTGCCATGGCAGTGCTACCTCCAGTTATAATTTTAGCTCAGTGCTCTGACCAAAACACCGAGGTGGTGGTTTGACGTGGTGGCGCCTTGACAGCGACCCACACCACCGATGCCGATGGCTCACTACCGTATCATTGCGGTAATGGTGTTCCCTCAAGAGAAGAGATCTGACAGCTGACGTCATCGAAGGCTCTTCTATATCTCCCTTGAGTAAATACCTCCATTTAGATAGGAAATTAACATGTAAAACACAAATTTGGGGAAAATGTCAAAAACTGAATTTAATATCTAATCAGTTTAATTGGCTCATCGGAAGAAAATAAAAACTTTGTCTAGAAAACAAACTATTGTTGTATAAAACGATATTGAAACCAAAATATGGACATACGGATGAGTGTAACTTTGGTGCTCGGTGAGTGAATGAATGAAATGAATGAATGAAAATATAATAGGTTTATATTCCACATAATATACAGAATACAAAATACATACTTCTTAACGTTACAATTAAAAAATATAAACTAAAACTAAAATAAAAAGTTAAATTTCTGTACTAACATTACTTCAAATATCGAAATTATACAAAGATACCAATCGAAAATGCTGAGGAAGATAACTAATGCACCTTGGTATGTCACCAATTAATAGAACGCTATATGAAGACCTTAAGGTCCCTACAGTTAAGGACGAAATCATTACCTTAAGTGAAAGATATATTTCTAAATTAGAATGTCGTCAAAATTATTTAGCGTTGAACTTACTAAACAACACAGATACAATTTACAGACTTAACCCTAGATCTGGCACTGGTATTGGAGTAAAAATTTAAAAACGTACGTTTTCAGGAAAAGCACTTTGCAAATTCTTTTCCCCTTTTTTCAAAACTTTTATTATTTTTTTTATTTCATTAACATTTGAAGTTTCATAAAAAGTCCATGGTAACGCAATATCTTTGGTAGTTTCTTTTTAAAAGAGCATCTTTAGTTGAAAAACACAAAATCCTGTCACGACCATAACGGATGTTTAAATGAATATTAAAAATAGTTAATATTATTTTTATAACTATGTTTTGCTATAAACTAATTTACTTTTATGACCATTATACAATAAAAAGGTCACTGAGCTTTTGGTATATTTGGTCTTTCTAGAAAAAAATAAAAAAACTCAAAAAATTTAAAAAAAGCCAATAAAATCTTTTTAAGTTTGTATAACTCCGAAGAAACTTACCTGAGACCCGAAAAATCGTTATGTTTGTATAGAGGTGTGCTTCTTTTGTGTATAAAACATTGAAATATGACGATATTTTAATTTTCAGGGACAAGCGGTACGGTCGTGAATTGTCTGGAATAATCTAAATCTTTCTAAACAATCCTTCAATTATCCTGTTAGTTATAATAAAAATATGTGTTTCAATTGAACTAAACTGTTCAATTTACAATTATATTAAAGTTATTGTCACGACCAAACACACTATAATCCATAATGCTGGATTGGTCGTGAAAAAACCCGCGATGGTCGTGAAACTTTGGTCATGAAATTACGTGTTATTTGGCTCTGTTCTGGCGGTAGCCCTGCACCTCATGTTCGAGGACTTCTACGTTAATCTAGCAATTGAAATATCTTATAAACAAAAATTAACACCATGTCTACTTCATCGAATGACTACGTACGGTCATGGACACACCAAAATTACAAAAAACACAATCTTTCCTTTATTAATCTTGTAATTCCTCCTTTTAACTCGAAAAGACCGGCACTACAATCCTGACGTACACCCTGAACTAGTCTCTAAAACCAACTGACTCCATCGACGCCAGGCTTGCCACTGTCGTGCTCCAAAGTTGAAAATTTTTCCCAAATGGTCGTGACGCCAAATCGAGGGACAGACTTATTTTGTCATGGTAGTCAGTTTGTAATGACAATAAAATTATAATATGCTCCTTTTTTGTAAGTTTAATAACCCTTGATGACATAAAAATATGGCTTTATATATTTCGGCATGAATAATTAGTCTAAAAACAGTGTGAAAGTTGGAAAATGTACCCTAGGGACACGTCATGGTCGTGAATTTCGAGACTTTAAAAATACGAAAAAAATACCTAGAACCTATTTAAAACCAAATAAATGTATGTAACATGTTGCCCCCGTCCCAAAAAATATTAAAACACATAATAATAAACTAAAAATCCAGTATCTACGAAGTAAAAGGCCAGGGACATGAAAACGTACGTTTTTAAATTTTCACTCACTGATCCTTTGCAAATAACTTTAGAGGAGATACAACCTCATGTTATAGTTTTATCGGAAATTGATATGAAAGAATGTGAACTAGATAGATTAAATATTAAAAATTATACTGTTGATTCTTTCTTTTGTAGAACAAAATTTAGTAAACGGTATCAGCATTCTGACACATACTTGCTCCCATAAGTTTGTCAACAACCTCATATCCGGAAATGGGATTTGTACAATTTTGTTCAGAATTTAAGGACTTATAATATTATAACAATACATAACAATGATATAATAATAATATTATATCATACTTATAATTTAAGTATGTTATAGCATACTACATTTTTATCAAAATTGTTCATGCCATTTTTGGGAAAATCCGATTTTCCATTATTTTATGGAGAAAATAACATAATTTACAATAACTTTTGAAGCTTAATTTTTACAGGAATGAGATTTGTGCCGTTTTGTTCAGAATATAAAGGACTATAACATACTACATTTTTATCAAAGTCGTTCGGGCCATTTTTGGGAAAATCCTAATTTTCCGTTATTTTATGGGGCTTTATGGGAAAATCCCCATTAAAAATAAAAATTTCTAAAAAAATGAAAAAACTTTAAAAATTGTAAGGACCATAACATACTATATTAAATCAAAACAGGATTTTTTCTAAAATCCTACTTTTCGTTATTTTATGGGTATTTATGGGAAAATAACATAATTTACCATAACTTTTGAACCATAATTTTTACAGAAATGGGGTTTGTACCATTTTGTTCAGAATTTAAAGGGCTACAACATACTAAATTTTTATCAAAATCGTTCGGTCCATTTTTGAGAAAATTTGATTTTTCCGGTTTTTATGGGAAAATCCCCATTAAAAATAAAAATTTCAAAAAAATGAAAAAAACGCCTGGAGATACCATGGATTAGAACCTATACCAAATTTCATCGAAATCGGACCACAGGTGTAGTCTCTAGCTCTGTACACATCCAGACACACAGACACACACACACACACAGACACAGACACACAAAGACATCACTTCGAAAACCACTTTTTTGGGTCCAGGGGGGACCCAAAACGAATATATCCACTCAAAACTCAAACTCAAAAATTTTGACGAAAACAATACTTTCTCCATATACTATGGTATAGGGGGAGAAAGTAAAAATGGAGGTGTCATGATCTTGAGTAAAAGTGGGCTGAAGGGTCAACCGGTGGTTTTTCCTCACCACTTGTTAGATGATTTGCAGGAGGAAAAACAATTTGATTTTTGTGCTGCAGTAGCATATCCTATAGGATTCAAAGTTTTAAATTTGTAGTTGTGGGAATGTATAGGTCCCCTTCCTCTTCTGTGGATTTTTAGATAGATTAAGTACACTTGTAGATTATTTAGACAAAAAGTATAAATTCTTAATTTGGGCAGGAGATTTGACTATCAATGTTTTATCAAGCACAAATCCAGATGAAAAAAATAAGTTAATGTTAGAATATATGCTAAAAAATCATGCTATGAAATATCTAGTTGATTTTCCAACCAGAGTGAGTTTTGAAACAGAATCAGCTATAGATAATATATTAGTTAAGAAATCACACGTTAATCTCATGTCAGTTACTGGTATTGTCACACTTCTCTCTGATCATGATGGTCAGATGTTGGAATTTGCCTGCTCTACTGAACTTCCTAAATCAAACAAAAGTACACTTTTCAAGAATGCCGCAATTTTTTCAGAAGCAAATTTGTTATTATTTAATCAACTTATTAAACATGAATCTTGGCTAGATGTTTATTTTGCCCAAGTTCATGACAAGTATAATATTTTTTTTTACATTCTACAATATTATTTTGATCAAGCGTTTCCAAAAAAAGTAGTAAAAAAGAATACAATTGCACATAGTTGGGTAACGCAGACATTAAAAGATGAGAAAAAAAATGTTATAAGAAGCAAAAAAGATATGAAAAAAATATATTTATAAAAGAGGAAGTTTGTATATATATATGAACGTTATGGACTCCGAAACCGCTCGACTGATTGTAATGAAACTTTCAGGTCAGGCATTATTAAGCATTATTCAAGGATGGTTTGTGTGAAGTTTGGCGCAGATCCGTCAAAAGGGCTCCACCCCAGTGGCTCTG